GTTTCACCAAATGTTAGGTTTAGGCAAACATTGCTATACTTGTCGTGCAGTAAGTCATTGAGTTTTGTGACCACAAACTCAGCCATAGGTCTAACGCTGTGTAAGTCATGTATGCGTCGACTTATATGACAGACACACCAGTGCTCTAATACGGGTATACTATCACAGCTCCTATCGTATGGGATCTCCTCCAATAGGGATAACCCATATTTTAAAGTAGTATTGGGTTTACCTAAATAACATATCAATATAAATTATTTTAAAGTCAATACTTAGGAAATATAATATTATTATTCATAAATTGCAAATAATTCTAGCATGCTAAAACAGTTTTAAAATTATATTTCACCTTATTTTTATAATTGTAAGCATTTTCTTACCTTCGAGTATATGCCTAAGCGTTGAGTGTATGTCGAAAGGAGTGGTAAGTCGGTGCTCATTGATCGTCAGATTGCGGGAACCGTATCTCTGGGGGACATATATGTGCATAAAGGCAGCCTTTCCTCATACCTTCCCGACAGTGTCTGTCGTATGTCTCCGAACCTCAACCCGTGGTCTGAGAAGAACACGATTACTGTATTCGACACCAAATTCTCGGCAAATAATTGTCCAAAAAGTCTATCAATAATGGCATCAAAATATCCGACATTATTGAGGATATCGTGTGTGAGTCGAGCCATGAAATGAAACGCAAAGTACTTCTGTTTTCTGGCATTCATTGCACGGATAAAGCCCAACAAATACTCGTAATATACCTGAAAATAATATAACAATTAGTAAACAATTATAAAACATTAGTTTCAATAAACAGACCTCCAGTTCCACTCGACCCAAGTAGCAATAATCCTTAGTATTAGAGTCCATGGCCAGGTAGTAAGGTCTGAGATAGTAGTCAGTCGGGGGGTCGGCGAACCCCTTTTTCTCATAATTATATGTATGCACAATGGGTGCATCCTCCATATACTATGTTTGATAGCCTTTCCGATGATATTCCTAATATTTAAAAACAAAATTAAAATTTTGAAAAAATGTAACTAGGTTAATAGATGAATCAAAATTGTAATCTAACTTTCCATATGAAGGGAAAGTAGTCAAACTGTGCGTTCATTGTCTCATTCCAGAGGTTTTCGACATAAAGTCCGGTGAGGAGTGGTGTGAGGTTTGGGAAGGTATTGTCGGCCACTTTGTTATAGCCATACATTGTGTGAAATCCCTGTCCACTGATGACATTGCGGGCAGTGATGGGAAAGTGTCGGTCGAACTGCAGTCTCGACACCGAATCGATGCCAACGAACAATACGTTCGGCAGATCTGGAGATTTCGGTATTTCCCGGACAGTCGGCGACTCAATGACTGGTATAAGTGGTACCACTTTCTCATAGCTTTCTAAATAAAATAAAATTTAAATACATATAATTTTTACTACCTTCAAGTTTACTATATATTAAAATTTTATTAATAACTAATCAATAAAAAATACTTTATTTAATTTTATTCAGTAGACTAAAAAGGGAAAACAACAGTAATCCAAAAATATTAGTTAGGACTAGGCTTTAAAATAGATATGTGTAAGCCTAAAACCATTTAAAGGTTTTTGCTATGTAGCGTTTATTGTATATGAAATATTTATTAAACTTCTATCATACTTTTATAATGAATAAGTTTAATAAAAGTATGATAGAATTTTAATAAATATTTCATATACAGTAAACGTTACATAGCCAAAACCTTTAAATGGTTTTAGGCTTACACATATGTATTTCAGATAAATTTATATTACAGTTTGTAAGTGAGCACTAATAAGAAATATTATTTTTCTATTTTACATTTTAATATTTATAATTTAATTACTTATATATACCTTCATGTACAGTGCAATGAACACTAACAGCTATATCATTAGGAAAATATGTAATTATCAACAGATTTAACACCAATTTTGCTGAATAGTGTACTTTATTATCGCACTTTTCATCTCTAATCACACTTTTTGCCCAACATTTCAATAATTTTTGCGAATCACTCGTGACTTTAATTCCCGTAAAATTGTATCTCTCTATCGATATGTTGTACTTATTTTTAGGTACTTTACATACAATCCTGAGACAACAAATGAGTTTTTAATTTAATTTTAATTGTTATCTTAAACCTAATTATATCACAGATTTGTATACATATTGCCGATGTTTTAAGTTATGATTTGTATTTTAAGTTTTATAAAGTATTGCAGTTTTGTTAATTTTAAATGCACTGGTAAATTATCTAATTTTATTTAACTAAATATTTTAAAACTATTTGGCATTCCATAAAAAAAGCTTTTTAGCATATATTTTAATAAAAGGAAATGTATGTATCAAATGGTATGTTGCGAAACATGGAAATTATGTGAAATACAATACTATAATAGGAACAATATTATTGTAATATAATTATAATAGAAACTTCTAATATGTACTTTATATTTTTGTAGCTAAATATATCTATATTTAGAAATTCCTAAATTGCATAAAATTTATAATTTATTTAATAAAAACCTTGAAAACATTTGTTAACTTACAATAAGCAAGTTTACGCGATATAAGTTTTAATCAAAAACCTATACTTTATTTGAAATCCTTTTACCGATAAAAAAGATTATAAAAGTGTCAATTGGTTATTTTAATTTACGTTAACAGGGCAACAAGTTACTTTTGAAAAATAAATTTAATATACTGTATGCATTGATAAATAGTGCTGTATTTTAATATATTTTCATTAAGTTGACCAGTAGGTGCTTATGCACTAAAATGACATAGTACATATTTAGAAGTGGCATCCGTGAAGGGGAAATCAAATTCAAAATAGATAACATTAATGTTAGTTTATTAAATAACCTTTTACACAATCCCTGATAACCCTCTAATGTAGTAAATACCGTATTATTTTGTACGCATACACTTGCCAAGTTCTCATACAAACTTCCATTATACAGTACTTAATAACTTTCCCTGATAATAAAATATCCTTCAGAGTTGGTATATAAGGGACAACTTATCTCATTGAAAAATTATTTTGTACGCATACACTTGCCAAGTTCTCATACAAACTTCCATTATACAGTACTTAATAACTTTCCCTGATAATAAAATATCCTTCAGAGTTGGTATATAAGGGACAACTTATCTCATTGAAAAGGTCTGTAGTGATTGAGTTTTAATTCACAATAATATTATTTATTAACACAAAAATGAACCAAGTTCTTTTCACATTATGTGTAGGCGCACTGGTATCCAGCATATATGCGTACTCCACATATAAAGCTCAGCCAGAATTAGCCAGAGGTGTAGGGAACGGAAACTATAACTATAGCGCCGTTATTCACGCCTCCCTACTCTTCTATGAGGCCCAGAGATCGGGTAAATTACCGGCAGATAAGAGGATTCCCTGGAGGGGGGACTCCATGCTGGACGACGGGAAGACCGTGGGAAAGGACCTGACGGGCGGTTACTTCGATGGTATGACTTTTGGATGAAGTTATATAAAAAAAATTAAATAAAAATTATTATTTAAATAAATAGCCGGAGATTTAGTTAAGTTTGGTTTCCCGATGGCGGCCACGATGACAATCCTGTCCTGGGGTCTAGTAGACTACGAGGATGCCTACCAAAAGGCCGGGGAGTTGGAGAATATGCGCAATGCTATCAAATGGGGAACCGACTACTTCTTGAAAGTAATATCAAATTATTTTAAATTAGAAATTTATATTTAATTGATTATTAATATGGTTTTTATATAGTGTCATACAAGCGATAATGAATTCTACGGACAGGTAGGCAATGGTAATGAAGATCACGCCGTGTGGGGTCGACCTGAGGACTGGCCTAAAACGGGGAAAGTTAGACCGGCTTATAAGGTCACGACCGCAAAGGGAGGTATTGTAATCATTATGACAAATAAATTATATTAAGTTTATTTTATGTTTTATTACAATTTGTGTCAAAATAGGCACCGATTTATTGGGCGAGACATCGGCAGCACTGGCGGCGGCGTCCATAGCCTTCGCGAAGTCTGATCCGACATATTCAGCAACACTTCTAACTCACGCCAAGTCTTTGTACACCTTTGCGGACAAACATCGGTCCACTTATACGGCAGAGATCACAGACGCAGCAAATTTCTACAAGTCTTGGTCCGGCTTTGGTGATGAGTTGGCCTGGGCTGCCACGTGGCTGCTCAGGGCTACCAATGATAGCCAGTATAAGGCAGAAGTGGACAAACACTTCAATGAATTTGGCAAACAATTGATGGGAAAGTCCACACAGTTTGGATGGGACGATAAGACCGCTGGAGTACAGGTGCTGTTGGCTGAGGTGACTGGCGATCAGAAGTATAAGACTTTAGCTCAAACTTTCTGCGATTGGGTCGTCAATACCGCTCCCAAAACACCAAAAGGTATTCAAATATACAGTAAAAAATATAAATTAATTCAAATTATCATAATTATATACTTTTTAAGGTATGGTGTACCTGGATCAATGGGGCACACTTAGACACGCCGGTAATGTGGCATTCGTTTGCCTCCAGGTATTTATAGAGTTTTAGAAAATTATGATACAAAATATATTTATAATCAATTTGTTTGCTATAAAAGGCGGCAAAAGTGGGCGTCAATCCGGATGCCTACCGAAAGTTTGGTGAAAAGCAAATCGGATACATATTAGGCGATACGGGCAGGAGTTTTGTGGTGGGCGTAGGGGTTAACCCACCCGCCCATCCCCATCACAGAGCGTCGTACGATAAAAATGACATCTAATTTCTAATTGAATTCAAAACAATGTCATTATAACTGTTTTATTTGTGTATTCATAGCTCGTGTCCGGATGAGCCGAAAGTGTGCGACTACTCAGCCATGTCTAACCCGGGTCCCAATCCCCACGTGCTTACCGGTGCTATGGTAGGCGGACCCGACCAGAATGATGCCTACGTTGACAAACGGGACGATTATGTGCACAACGAGGTGGCCATGGATTATAACGCCGGCTTTCAGGGCGCGTTGGCAGCCCTCCTACACCTCCAGACCATTTAGATTACGATTATTGTAATGTTTACTCAAAGAGTTTTTCACCTTGGATTAATTTTTATTTTATATCAAGATTTTTTGTATTTATTACATTTAATTGTTTTATAATGTTTTTATAATTTAATGATGGACATAATTTTGATTAATAAAAATCACATCTAAATAAGTTGTTTGAATTAATTAAAACCATAATTTATTATTCGCCTTGTTAATGTTTATGCCTTGAACAATTTATGTGATTTGTTTGCCTCGTAATTGACTACTTGTGATAACTTATCACTGATTAGTTGAGAAACAATTGAATAATTGTCATAAAAATCAATACAATGAAAATTATTTTAAGTGCATTACAAAAAAAACTATATTAGTAAATATAATAACATATAATATTATCATAATATTGAATAAAAATCCAGTGAAAATAAATTATATATTTAGACCAATACCAAACCATTTAATTTGATTTATTGTTATTTTGAGACGCCGTACACTTAACATAACTAAATAATGAACGGACTATTATATTAATAGTAAGTGTTTATGTACTAAAAGGCACCACCAGTTGGGGACTACTAAACTAACAAATCCGCTAAGTGGCATAAGAGCTAATTAATTTCAAAATAGATTTGATAATAAAATTTTTATAAACCTTTTAATCTGTATTTGATAACCTTTGTATGTGGTAAACACTTTATTGTCGCTGTTCACATTGTAAAACAATTGTTCAGTTCAATCATACTTTCCCTGATACTATAATCTAACTAAAGTGCCACTAACTTTCCCTGATGCTAAAACACCACAAAAATAGTATATAAGCTAAAAGCTTTCTCATTTTAAAAAAGTCTGTGTGATTGAGGTCTAACTCGATAATTTAGTAATAAAAATGGGCTCAACCATATACACAATAATATGCCTGAGCACCCTGGTGGCCGGCATATGTGGCACCTGTACGTACAAAGTGCGGACAGAGTTCTCCGGTGCCACTCAAGCGGAGTTTGATATGACGGGTGAGACCGGCGACTGGACTATTGATGTCGTATTTGACGCTAAAGTCATACTTCACGTAGTTTGAATTTAAAATTTTTAAAAAATTTGTTTTAAACATTATACTTATATTGCATATGAAATACAGATTATGCAGGGTGGCACCGTAAAAACATCCGGCCCCGATGAGCTCGCATTCACCATAAGTGGCGACCCATTAAAAGCCGGCGAAACACATACCGTTGCCTACGAGGCTCGTTATGATGATAATCCCGGCGCTAATCTAATCAGGCACGTATGAAGGGCAAGGTCTTAAAAATATAAATTATTAAATAAAATGCTTTTTATTTTTATGAATATAGCGCCAAATTCAATGGCAAAGCCGTAGATATCGGTAATGAAATTGAATTAAAAACACTTTTTCAAAAAACTAACTTTAAGTTTAACTCGTGTTTAGGACCGGTGTCTACCGTATGGCCCATAACTATCATTCCCGATGGAGAGAAAGGCAACTATAACTACAGCGCCGTTATTCACGCCTCCCTTCTCTTCTATGAGGCCCAGAGGTCCGGCAAATTACCCACAGATAAGAGGGTTCACTGGAGGGGCGACTCTATGCTCGACGACGGGAAGGACGTGGGAAAGGACCTGACGGGCGGTTACTTCGATGGTATGACTTATAAGGAATAAATAGGATTAGTATTAATGTTTTAGTGCATAAATAGCCGGAGATTTGGTTAAGTTTGGTTTCCCGATGGCGTACACTATAACAATGTTGGCCTGGGGTCTGGTAGACTACGAGGACGCCTACCAAAAGGCCGGGGAGTTAGAGAATGTGCGCAATGCTATCAAATGGGGGACAGACTACTTCATAAAAGTACTGTAAATAATAACTTTATAAAAATATACTAGTAATTTTGAATTCAATTAATGCTATTCAGTGCCACACAAGCGATACTGAATTCTACGGACAGGTAGGCAATGGTAATGAGGATCACGCCGTGTGGGGTCGACCTGAGGACTGGCCTAAAACCAAAGTCAGGCCCGCGTATAAGGTTACCGCAGCACATGGAGGTAAAACATTATAAAATAATATAATTTATAAAAATTAATTACGAATGTAATTATAAAAATAGGCAGCGATTTATTGGGCGAGACATCGGCAGCACTGGCGGCGGCGTCCATAGCCTTCGCGAAGTCTGATCCGACATATTCAGCAACACTTCTAACTCACGCCAAGTCTTTGTATACCTTTGCGGACAAACATCGGTCCACTTATACGGCAGAGATCACAGACGCCGCAAATTTCTACAAGTCTTGGTCCGGCTTTGGCGATGAGTTAGCCTGGGCTGCCACGTGGCTGCTCAGGGCTACCAATGATACCCAGTATAAGGCAGAAGTGGACAAACACTTCAATGAGTTCGGCAAACAATTGATGGGACAGCCCACACAGTTTGGATGGGATGATAAGACCGCTGGAGTACAGGTGCTGTTGGCTGAGGTGACCGGCGATGAAAAGTATAAGACTTTGGCAAAAACTTTCTGCGATTGGGTCGTCAATACGGCACCGAAATCACCAAAGGGTTTGTAGACTGAAAAACATTGCTTGCTAATTAATAACAATCTGTTTATTATAGGTATGGTGTACCTGGATCAATGGGAAAAACTTTCTGCGATTGGGTCGTCAATACGGCACCGAAATCACCAAAGGGTTTGTAGACTGAAAAACATTGCTTGCTAATTAATAACAATCTGTTTATTATAGGTATGGTGTACCTGGATCAATGGGGCCCACTTAGACACGCTGCTAACGCGGCATTTATATGCATTCAGGTATTGAATAAGTTTTAGTAAATTAATATTTAACTTAATATAAAATAAGATTTATTTTTAATTCAAATTCAAAAGGCGGCAAAAGTGGGCGTCAATCCGGAGGCCTACAAAAAGTTTAGCGAAAGTCAAATCGGATACATATTAGGCGATACGGGCAGGAGTTTTGTGGTGGGCGTAGG